AAATGAAGGGCTGTTTAAAAAAAAAAAAAAAGCAAGTTTCTCATGTGTTTTATGTGTCTGTCCTATATAAAATAAAGTTTTGTATTAGCATGCGGATCTATCACCACAGTACTCCTTACCTCTGAATACAGAAAATAGAGTATTACTGCATCTAAATATGATTTAATTGGTTCAATTTACTATATATTTTTTATACTAAGTGTGGTTCCATATCTTGATGAGCCCAGGTGTAGTTGCGCTTGTGGTTTACAGCATCCCATTGCTTGCATTTTATTATTTTTACAAAGCAAATGTCTATCAGTCATAGAGATAAATTAGAAAAAATTGTGCAAACATGACACATCGCTAAGATTTTTCCAGCATGCTATGTAATTATTAATCTGATTTTTGCCATTGAAAGAAGCCATGAATTACAGATAGCATGGATGAAGTTAAATGCTTTTATATTAGATACATTTTGCTTATAGAGTATTCTATAGGTATGGCCATACAATATAATTGAAGCTTTGTCAGCTCTGTAGCCTAGCAACAGATAATACTGTTAGGTTACTGAATTGCTCCTGGTTGACAAGTAGGGAGTATTTTCGTGTTTATCATGTTTGCTAATGATGGGATCCTTTCCAAAAGGCTTGTCTTAATCTTAATTAGAGTTTATCAGCAGAGGTCTGCATGACATTGTGCAGACACTGATTTCATAAATAATAAAAAGTGCAAGTGAAAAATTTGGCAGGAGAAGAAGATATTTAAGACCACTGATTCTTGTAAGAGCAGCCTGAATTTCCAAAATGTAATCAAGTTTGAACTGTGACTCTATTCTTTATTATCGAAACTTGCAGTATACTCCACTGCAGTTTTGACAGCAATTATGAGTATGATTTATAAGCTTCCTGTTAGGAACCAGATCTGTTTGCACAAGAATCTTGATCATAAACATTACAAAGAACAGTAAGTCCACAGTTTTTCAGGGACATCAGGACTTTACTTTTTCCTTTGCATAGAAAGTTGGTTTGGTTTTGGTTTTTTTTTTTTTTTTTTATTTAAGGATGTTGGGTTTTTTTTTCAAGCAGCAGAAATATTTGCAGTGAAAGATGCAGACAGAAGAAGAGAATCCTGAAATAACCTTTACATTTGGTGGAAACTGAAGGTATCAGATAGCTGCTTCAGTGCCTGATGTCATTTGATAAAGAACTCGTGCCAATGCAATTGGAATGTAATTTTTTGCTCTAGTTTGCACAACATAATATTCTTTAACTTTCTCAACTTTTGATGATTAAAAGAACATTTCTAATTCCTTGCAATGTGAACTAGAAAAAGAGTTCAAATAAATACATAGTGTTTACAGTACAGACATTTTTATTCTCTCCTTCTGCTTGACATGTATGTATTATATATCACATAAAATTCTTTGGTTTAACCATAGATATAAAACAATATATTGCAGACTCAAGAAGCTTATTTTCCATTTCATAGAGTCAGAAATGACTTGTAGAGAAAATAGCTTTCCAATGCCACAAGGCCTTCTGGTATTTCAAAAACTTCCCTTCTGCAGTGGGACAAGAGGAAGACTTTTCTTACCCCACTATGTAAAACCAGTAAGACCCTTTTCAGTATAAATGGATGACCAGTGTACTCATTGTGGGCAAGAAGAGGGCCAAAATCACCAGTCTACCATTGTCTTGCCTTCTAAACAAATAGTATAACCTTGACCTCATTTCTGAGGCACTGTCGGTCACTCCTGCCTGTTAGAGCTTATCTGGACATTCTTCATTTCTCTTCTTCCAGTGACTGTATCTGTCTTAGGACCGTGAAACTTGTCCTGGTAAAGCTTTGGTAGAACCATTTCACCACTAGAAGCTTTTTCTGACAAAAGGAACAGTTTGTTAAAAAATTTCTAGCCAGCTTAGTGAGAACTTCATCTCATATAAGTAACAGCCCTTTATGTTTCCTTATGAATTCTTCATGTCTTTGCAAATATTTCAAGCAAATGTCTTCCTATCTCCTTCTCCATTGCCACCAGTACTTGGTAAAGACTTCCATAGTACCCTTTTGAAAATCTGTTGTTAACACTGCCCTTTGCTTTATGAAAAGATGATGTGCTCCTGAGAAATTAGTGTGTATATGTCAGTTGTGTCTTAGCTTGTAGAAATGTTTGTGGGAAGCAAGAACTTTTTTCCATCACCTGTAAGGAGGGCCTGACCCCTGACAAGGGGGTCTAGACAACATAATAATTCATATGATATTCGTGATTGGAACTTCCTATTAAATTCAGAAGCCTCTGCCAGGTTCTCTGCACGCCATTGCCCTGACTGTGCAGTAGAAGGCTCAAGAAGTCTTCTCTTCCACTGTTTTCTTGCTGTGCACAAAGGCCAGCATATTTGCATTCACTGTATTAAGGGGAATAAAGTAGTTTGCATCTTTTAAAACAGCAGCTATTGCCTTACCCTGTGCAAGCAAGCATAGAGAGGGGCAAGAGAGGACTGTACTGTGTCCTGTCCCTGTGGGTGACTGTTGCTGCAGAGGGGGCATACTGCATTTCCAGTAGCTGGAAGAATGCATCATTTGGGAGTTCATCTGGGAATTTAACTTAACATGATATCATACTGATGAAAACGTGGACATAGATGTCATGTTCACTTAAATGCCTCATTTTCTGTTGAGCAGGGTGAAAGGAAACAAAATAACAATGTAATTCTTGGATCTGAACCCTCCTGGGCTGAAGGTTTGTATTCAAATGCAGGAGTGGATTAAACTTCTGTAGTTCTGATTTCCTTTAGTAAACCAAGCTAGAGATAGTTGTGCTTGCCAAGCCGTCGGACGTCCCACTCGGCCGTGCCTGCCGTAGGTGTGACAGCCTCAGGAGCGGGGTGGAGCAGGCAGCCGAGGTTGCTGCTCTGCAGCTGTCCGAGTTTAATCTGCTGCTGGACCCGAGTCAACACCCTGAGGAGCTCCAACACCAGGAGACTGAGTCAGCCTTTTAGCTGATCCAGACTGATTGCAGCTGGAGACCCAGTAATCAACTACACTTTGGTTTTTTGGTTTGTTTTTGTTTGTTTGTTTGTTTTTTTTTTTCCCCTGCAACGGTACAGATGTCAAGATGTTTGCTAGGATAAAGTCTCAGTTGGTTCTTCTGCAGTGACTTATTTTTATTTTATTAAGAAATCCAGTCGATAATACAGTCTAGGAAGAGCTCTTATTTTATAATAAAATATACTAAAACATGTTGGTTTATTATTACACCTTCTGTATACAAATTAAATAGAAGTGCATGTTAATAATGGAAGCCCTGTTCCTCCCAGAAAATGAACTGTGTGGTGTTTGCAGTGAGAGGACCCAGTTTCAAATTGCAACGTGTGTATCACATGTTTTTATCTACAAAACTAAGTACTTTAGGTATTTAGCCTTGTTTTCTCTCGAACAGGTTTTGTACCAGTTTAACTCTGAAGGCTTCTGTATATTTACTCCTGACTTATATCAGGCAATAAGTCAGACTGTGCTCTTCAAATGTTTGAATTCCTACTTGGGCATCAGGATTCTCCATTTGTAGACATTTATGGCACTATGTTCATATTTCGTCTTCTTATTCTCTAGAGGAAATTACTCAGATTTGCATGATTTAATGTTGTAATCTTGGAGGGCAGTAAACCTTAGTATGGTCCCGTCACAGTAAATTGTTTGTAAGCTTTGGAGCTGCCTTCAACTGCTGTATTACGGAAGGGTGAATACAAAGACACTTTTCTGCTTTGAAACTTTTACACCACTTTGAGGTCTGGAAGCTTAGCTTTATTTTTCCACTGAAACACATTGTCACTGGTGCTGTTTTGTTTGCTCATCTTTGAAAGCTAATAGACTGGTTTAATTAATTGTCCAAGATTTCTCTAAAACAATGTCCTAATTCTTCCATTTAGCTGTGGCATATCATACACTGTTGTTATCTCCTCTACCAGATTTTTGCAACAAGTTGTTTTAAAACTATAATCTCTTTGAGGGTAAAAAAATGAAGTGCAGTTGAAAAGGCAGTTATGCCGAAAGATAAACACAGCAATATTACTTATCAAAACGAGTACGGTTTTTGCTTGCTTAATGAATACAACATATAGCTTTTTCTATATATACAAAACCTGAGGAAAAAAAAGCTTTATAACATATAAAGTATGCAACATTATTTCAGGCATAACTGTATTGGATATGTATCTAGGCCTGAGAGTGTAGATAACACAATATAAGTGCTTTGCCTGTCTAAACATGTTAAATAAATGAGCATTCACTATCGCATTCAAATACATTAGTAGATGTACTCGCATAGTTAATTTTCTTTTTAATGCACTACACGTGACATTTGCAGCACAGAGCTATAGTGTATCTTACTGTTTGATGAAAGTTCTTCCACCTCCCCCCCCTTTTAAACAAACCTTTATTTGAATAAGCCTTTATGAAACAGATCTTTGGCATATCTTCTTTTCAGGAAGTTCAGTCAGTGTAAGCAGAGATAAAGCAGTCATGTTACGAAGAATATTACATAAGGGAAGATTTTTTAGAGAAAGAGGATGGCAAACATAAGGGAGGGGAAGAACGCCCTGAAGAGGAAATCTGATTTCTTTCTTGCAGCTGTTTGGTTTTATTGTACTGTGATTTGGTATTCAAAATAAAACGAACTTGGAGTTATGAAAAAATATACAGGAAGTTTAGTGAAAAGTAATGATGAGAAAAGTGCCATATAAAATATTTTCACTTATATCTTGATTTTCATAATGCTGACCTTTTAGGAGACAAAATGAAAAATTAAAATTAATAGTCATGCTGCAAAGAGTTAGGAAAAGTATCCACAAATTGTTATCCTTATACATTGAAAAATTCTATATTGACAGAAGGAAGACAGTAAAAGTAAAATTATTTGCCTCTTTACCTTGAACAAGCCATTGAAATTTTAAAAAAGAATGTGAAGATATGGCACTGATGTTTTAAGTTCTGGAATCTGATATCATCAATTAAATCCTTCTGCTCTTATGTTTCCTGTAGGAGGGCAGCTTTGGTGTACCACGACCAAGGCCATCTCAGAGGGTGAAGAGCTGATTGCCTTTGTTGTAGATTTTGACTCAAGGCTGCAAGCTGCTAGTCAGATGACTCTCACAGAAGGGATGTATCCTGCACGCCTGCTGGACTCAATACAATTGCTGCCTCAACAGGCTGCAATGGCATCCATTTTGCCTACGGCTATTGTGAACAGTAAGTGATGAATACTATTCGCTGGTGTTTTTTTAAAACAGCAGTACTTTAAGGGATGTATGAAGAGCTAATTCAGTGATAGTGAATTCAAGACCACAGAAACCACACAACTTAAAACCCACAGCTCGAAGCCTGCTTTTGTTCCCCCGCTATCTCACATGAACTCGCAGACATAAAAGGAGGAAGAAGAGTGGTTTGGCAGCTGGGCTCTGCAGGAGTCTTACCCAGAATATCTGACCTGCCCTCATGTGGAGGTTCTGTGATCTGCTCCCGGAGGCAATAGGATCAGAAACTGTTAAAATACTGGGTAAGATAGGTCTGTTAGCTCACAAAGTCCAGCCTCTGCTGCTTAAGTAAGCTTGTTGCTTACAGCTGCAGCTTCTGGTAATATTTCATGATACTCAATGGAAAGAAAGAAAACATCTCTTCAGTGGCTGTTTCAAAATGCAGCGGAGATCGTGCCTTATAGCAGCCCTGATTTATTGTAGTATCTCCACTCAATGTGGCTACCCAAGAATGTTTTTATGTCCTCTGGATGTCAATAGACCCTATCATGGACAAAATAGAGCATGTAATTAAGTGCTGTCCTTAGAGAGGAGGGACATGAGTACATGATAAGTCAGCTCCTGAACTGGGACAATTCAGCTTGAATTAAATTTCATTTCCTTAATTTTTTCCTATTACTGCTTTTTACCTTTATACAGCCCTAGTTCCTCATCCTCCTCTCTAAGTACTTTTCAAATATATTAGCTGTTGGCATGATCATCACCAGTCATCACTTAGACCTGTTGCACATCCTTAGCCCTCAGCACTTCATAGGCCAGTCCATTTAGATCCCATGTTGGAGCACTTCCCCATGCTTCCTGTGGTTTGTAAGTCTTGTAATTAGATATTGAACACAGTGTTTTGGGTGTACATGCACATACAAGCACATGATCTGCCACTCAGGTTCACACCAAATACCACTGTGTCTTGAACAGTCACACCATCTTCAGGCTCTTCAGACAGGACTAGTTAAAATGTCTGTGGTAACACATTTCATTCCATGTTTTCCGTTTTTTGGGGTTTTGGTTTTTTGTTGTTTTGTTTTGTTTTTTTTTTTTTTTTGAGGGGATGTGTAATTGCTTGTTTTCTGGGTAAATAATCTTGATAGCTACACATTTATTGTTAGCCTGTTTTAAAAGATAAACCTTAAAAGTCCAAGTCATCCAAGTTTTCCCTTCCAGAGAGCGAGTTGGCCGCAACCTCAAGCCCTTTAGCTAAGTGCATTTGTTTTTACCCTGGCAGCGGGGCTGCTGTGAGCTGATGCACTTGTTCACAGAACCAGCAACTAGCACTGTACAGGATCTTTCCAAAAGAAAGTGTCAGAAGCCCCTAAAATGGACCAGCAAGTTACTGCAGTTAGGGCAGACCGGTGTTTATAGCCAGCAGCTGCAAGAGGGCCACCAGGGAGGGAGTTACCTAGCCTAAAGGGCAAAAACTCATTCACAGCTTGTTTCAGCTGGGGATGTATTTTTGTGCAAATCTACATGAGGCCAACTCTGGGCTTTGGCAAAGTAGTCAGATTTCTACAGCATCAAATTACGGGAAGCACCTTTGCTGCCAGCATTGCCTTTTGCAGAGCCCTGGAAAGCCACACTGATCATTGCTGCTTCTGCTGCAAAGAGGAGTCTAAGTTCACGGTGCATCAATTCTTACTATACAGGCTGAGCAGCAACTCAGAGTAACCTCTGTGCTCTAAACTCCAGAAGGCTGCTAAAGTAGCAAATCTCACTATCCAGAACTTTCCACCTCAGTTCTGCCTCTGACCAGACGGGGCTATTTCCACATTTCATTGTTGATCAGTTTCTTCAGTAAAGTCTTGACCTAGATGCAAGTCCAGTAATATGCTGAACGCATCTCTAGATTTGTAGTGAGACATCTTTTAACCATTCTTTTCCTAGATCTCTGAAAAAAAAAGTCAGTTTCTGGAAAAATTAAGTGTTGTAGGGGTTTTTTTTAAATGTTTCCTAACATTTTCTGGCTGAAAAATCAAAATTAGAGTATCACCTTTGGCTCATTCAGCTTGAACTTTAATGTTTCATTTCCTGAATTGATCCACTGAAATATTTGGAAACTATCCATTGAAGCAAATTAAAATATTTTGCTTTTAAAGAATTAAAACATTAACTTCAAGTAGCCTTTCTCTATTTTGCATCACTTTATGGGAGTAATGGTTTCAGATCCCATCCCTTTACATTGTTCTTCCTGGAATTCCATCCTCTCGCCATGCAAAACTCCTCAAATGCATTTCTTCTGCATGGCATGTAATGGGAGCCACATATTCACCATGCATAACTGGAGCTCCAGACTGTCCAGGCCATCTAGCCCGTAGGAAATAAAGATGGCTGGAAGTCAAATTCATTAAGATAATCAGAAAGTTCAATTCTGTGATGGAATGCAGTCAAATGAATTCAAATAGGACATGTTGCCCATATCAGAATTTCCTATTACTACTTTTGGACTTTCTCTTCTGTGCAAATCTCCATGGTTCAACTTTTTTAAACAATTTGAAGCCAAAACCAAATGCTGAAATGTCAGATTTCACATGAGTTTGACATTTCAAATGATGCGAGTTGTATCAGTAATATTTTAATAGTGGTATATACTGGAATACTAACTGCTCCATTAAATGTTTGTGTCTTAAATTCACGCACAATTATTCAGTGGCAAAGGGAAAAATAGAAACTGGTAGTGATGAAAATATTTTATGCAAATTCATGAGCAGAAGAATAGACAAGCATTAGCAATGTGGTCAGAGAAGCAAACTAAGCAATGTAAATTTTGGCTGCATTTGTAGATATTTAACAAATAAAAGACTCATCCATTTCAATGGGTTGCAGTCTTCAACTTTATTCACTCAAAGGAGTTGGAACAGAGCAGTTGTCCTATACACATCAATGTTTGAAATTAAACGGAAGTTGTCATGAGTGATAATGAATTACATCATGAGCTACGCATGCCATATTTTCAGAGCAGCCAACCATTCTTCATGACTTAAGTTAATTACAATCGCTAGCAGCTTTTTGATGTTAACTAAGATGTGTTTTGATATTGACTGCAATTGCCTATTCTCTGATCCTGAGGTCAGCTGGCACAGTCTGGCTGTACTCACAGTTTTGTCCTCTCTTACTCTCAAAAACAGGCGAGAAGTGTCCAAGCCAGTTGCAGGGAATGATCCTAGGCCCATGGTAACGCCTGAACTGTATGCAGGAATGGGGGACGTGTTAATTGACTTAAGCCAAGAGTGTGGAAGGGACCATTCTCGTGGTTTAATAATACAAACAAGAAGTTCTAGTACTCTAGTCTGGATCCTGTCACTGTTTAATTTACTAGTGTAAATGTATTCTACAGAGCTGGGATTTCTTCCTTGCTCTTACTGATAGGATGGCAAGTTAGCTTTCTGAAAGATCAAACAAGTCCTTTGTCCTTCTGAGATAGATACAGAACATGTACTGTGTAGGTATCCTTCTGACGGGATATTTACAACCAAATGTCTGTCTGCTTTGTGTAAATACACAGTATTCGTTATTACCCTTCACATGAGAGAAGTATGTAGCCTTCAGTACATGATCAAAATATCTACTCCCTCTGCTGCTGGGAAGCACTCTGTGCAACCTGTGCATTGTCTTCCCCTCAGAGAGCGTGCTGACACTTTGGGATAGAAAACAATGAAAAATTGCATTATTCTTAGCAAATATCCCTTTTGCGTAGTGAAAAGTGGAACAGTAACAATTTACCAAAAACAAGAGGACAAAAGTACATTAGAAATTTTAACTTCTAATATTAATAACAACAGGAACCCAGGAGATTAACATGCTGCTTGGTACAATCAACACTGTAGGGTCTTAAGGAAACATAATCTAGTCTGGCCTCCTGGATAGCAGAGCAACAGGATTTTACAGTAATAACTGCATAAGCGTTCTGAAAATACACATTCTTCAGAATGATCTGCAATTAGCACTCAAAAATTCCAAGGCCCAATGCTAGAAAGACTTCTGCACAAAGAAAAAACTACCATTGAAAGATGTCACCTATTCAGTAATGATGTATTGGAAATACAGTTTAGTTCTTGAATTAGTACTGCATATTCACAACAAACAATTAATTTAATTTCATTTTTTAAATGATTACATGCCAAAACCTTCTAGGTGTTTTTTTTTTAGTAACTATTTTTAAAATCTCCTTTTGAAAGAAACAGCTGTCTCCCACATTCAGTCTCTCACCTGCAAGTGACATTTTAATAAACCCATGCCCTTGTGTTCAATATTTTATTAAGTAAGCATGCATTTAATGGGGAAGTGAGGGGAGTTAATCCAATTGTGTTAATTGATTGGCACTGAGTGCACCACGGCTAACCTGCACCTGGTTCTATTTGCTTGTAGAGGACATATTCCCTTGCAAATCCTGTGGCATTTGGTATCGAAGCGAGCGGAACCTGCAGGCCCATCTCATGTATTACTGCAGTGGGAGGCAAAGAGAGGGGCCTCAGCTGTCAGAAGAGAACGAAGATAGTGTTCAGCAGATATCCAGTGTCTGCCCCTTTCCACAATGCACCAAAAGTTTTTCTAACGCAAGAGCTCTGGAAATGCACCTAAATTCTCACAGTGGTAAGTACCGTCTGTTTTCCTGTATCATATTCTAGAATTAGCTATTTGAAGAGTTATTCACTGTAGACATTCAGTGGATCAATGCAAGCATTGGCTGTAGATGCTACCAAAATGTCAACACTTTCTGACCTGTGTTCTACACCAAGCACCTCTCCCAGATAACCAGTGTAATTTCTTTTATCTACTAATCCTCATTTGAATGCTGTCTCTCTCTTAATGTGTGTATACACACATACAGGCAGCATTTCTTTACTGGTGAAGGTATGCTCAGGAATCCAGACTTACTTAGACCGCTGCTGGTTGGTCTCTCAGAGGTTCAGTCAATTGCTTCAGGATTCCATCCAACAAACGTGAGTCTGCTAGACTACAATCTCTACTTACTCTGATGTGATGCTCAGCGGAGAAATACACACCACCAGAGAGCAAGTCCTTCTGAAATAAGATCTTGGGGTCCTAGAGTAGGCTTCTTAAGCAGGAGGCTTGAAGGACAAGAGTCCAGAACTCTGTGTGCTTTTCCCAGGACACTTACCTGGGCAGCCTTTTCCAATGCTTCACAACCCTTTCGCGGAAGAAATGTTTTCTAATATCCAATCTAAACCTCCCCTGGTGCAACTTGAGGCCATTTCCTCTTGTCCTGTCGCTTGTTACTTGGGAAAAGAGACCAACCCTCACCTTACTACAACCTCCTTTCAGGCAGTTGTGTGGAGTGATGAGGTCTCCACTGAACCTCCTTTTCTCCAGACTAAACAATCCCAGCTCCCTCAGCCGCTCCTCACAAGGCTTGTGCTCTTCACCAGCTCCGTTGCCCTTCTTTGGACACACTCCAGCACCTCAATATCTTTCTTCTAGTGAGGGGTTCAGTACTAGCTGAACACAGTACTCGAGCTGCCACCTCACCAATGCCTTCCGTAGTCCTGCTGACCACTGTTTCTGATCCAAGCCAGGATGCTGTTGGCCTTCTTGGCCACCTGGGCACACTGCTGACTCATGTTCAGCCGGCTGTCGACCCACACCCCAAGGTCCTTTTCCTCCAGACATCTTTCCAGCCACTCATCCCCAAGCCTGTAGCATTGCATGGGATTTTTGTGGCGAACCTAGTTTACCTGACCAAAGCATGGTATATGTGTGTGTGTGTAGACAGAACAAATATCCATTTTAGATTCCAAATACTATCCCTGTCAATATTTTTTCAGTTTTTATGGCCTAACAGGTAATCAGAATCTGTGTTGTTGCAGTAGAAAATTTGATCTTATCTCTTTTTAAAACATTTTCAGTTTCAAAATACCGTGAAACATGGTGGTTTTTTGTGTCAGCATTGATTGTAAGATGGCTTTGAATGTACTGTTCTTGGTAGGGCAAGCTGTAGTGATTTCATGAGGAGAAGGTGTTGTGTTACAGCAGTAGTTGCCTACAGCCATTGTATGGGGAAGATAAAATGTTGGTGAAGCCATGTCTTACTCCTCCTCCTCCCTTCACAGTGAATGCAACTCATCAGTCCTTTCTGATGAGGATAGATCTGTATCCTGTTCGCACACTGCAGCCAACTCATGCAGGCAAAGAGCTGAGCATCAATAATGCTCAAAATGCTCCTTCTGCTCTGTCTGTGACTTTCAGGCACTCTTGAGTTTGAGGGCTGTACCTCAAGTGACATCATAACCTTGAGCCTCTTGACCTTGATGTGCTTTCTGTGCATTAGGAATTTCCAGTGATTGTATATGGAGAGCATTATGTCTCCTTTAGTTAAAACTGTAATTTCTAAGACTTCATTTAGAATAAGTTCAGTCTATTTTTTATCCTTTCCCTTGTTCTTTCTTTCCTTTTATCTCTGCTGAATGCATGCAGATACTAAGGCTTTCCTAAGCAGAGCAGAAGTCTGGGAGTATCCTCTAGCAGTTCAAGGAAAGAAATTCTGAATCAATTCAAGTATTTTCAGAGTGACTAATACCATCCCGTCAGAAGAAAATTAGTTATTCTCACTGTGTTTGTACCTTCCATGCAACTGATTTGCCAGTATACTTCATGAAGGACAAAATGGTCACTTTATTTTGTATTTTACTTGTCTTTTCTGTAGGAGTGAAAATGGAAGAATTTCTCCCGCCCGGTGCTAGTCTGAAATGCACAGTTTGTACTTACACTGCAGACTCAGTGATTAACTTTCATCAGCACCTGTTCTCGCATCTTACTCAAGCTGCCTTTAGATGCAATCACTGCCATTTTGGCTTCCAGACTCAGAGGGAGCTACTGCAGCACCAAGAGTTACATGTCTCTGGCAACAAAATTCAGAGAGAAAGTGACATTGAACACTCTCCAAGTGGAAACGAAGAAGGTTTACAGCCAGCAACAGACCTGTTGAACAGAAATGATGTTCCCCTGAGCCAAAAGACCATGCAGACTAAAGATGCAAGTTCTGATACAGAGCTTGATAAGTGTGAAAAAAAGGCTCCACTTTTTCTTCCAAACCAGAGGCCAGAAACCCAGCCTGCAACAAATAAGCAGAGTTTTTCATACACTAAAATAAAATCTGAACCATCTAGTCCAAGACTTGCTTCATCGCCAGTTCAGCCTAATATTGGTCCTTCTTTCCCAATGGGACCTTTTCTTTCCCAGTTTGCTTTTCCCCAAGACATCACTGTGGTTCCTCAGGCTTCAGAGATATTAGCCAAAATGTCTGAGCTGGTCCATCGAAGACTGAGGCATGGAAGTAGCAACTATCCTCCTGTAATTTACAGTCCTTTGATGCCCAAAGGGGCTACATGTTTTGAGTGTAACATAACATTCAACAATTTGGACAACTACTTGGTACACAAAAAGCATTACTGCAGCAGCCGATGGCAGCAGATGGCAAAGTCACCAGATTTTTCCAATGTCCCAGAAAAAATGCCAGAAGCTGTAAGTCCCAGTAACGGTCAAAGCTCTATAAACATCCTGAATGCAGCTCCTCACACATCAGATCCAGAGAATCAACTTCTGCAGACGTCTTGCATAAACTCTTCCAATGTTTTAGATTTGATCGGGCCAAACAATAAAAGTCATGAAAAAGACTTTACAGCACAATCTAAGAAATTGTCAACTGCAAGCAACGGCGATGAGAAGATAAACGGAAAACCTTCTGATGTGAAGAATCCCAGTGCTTCTTTAGTAGAAGGGGAGAGTGATCCTAACAAGACCACGTGTGAAGCTTGCAATATTACTTTCAGCAGACATGAAACATACATGGTCCACAAGCAGTATTACTGTGCCACTCGCCATGATCCTCCACTGAAGAGGTCTGCTTCCAACAAAGTGCCTGCCATGCAGAGAACAATGCGTACCCGGAAGCGAAGGAAGATGTATGAGATGTGCCTACCAGAGCAAGAGCAAAGGCCACCACTAGTTCAACAGCGATTTCTAGAAGTGGCTAATCTTGGCAATCCTTGTACATCTACTCAAGAGTCAACAGAGGGCCTTGGAGAATGTTACCATCCACGATGTGATATCTTTCCCGGAATAGTCTCGAAGCATCTGGAAACATCACTGTCTATTAACAAATGCGTTCCAGTTTCAAAGTGTGATACTCCCCACTCCACTGTGTCTTGCTTGGAGATGGATGTGCCAATAGATCTCAGTAAAAAATGCTTACCCCCATCAGAGAGGACGTCCACTTCTCCCAAAAGGCTGCTGGATTACCATGAGTGCACAGTATGCAAGATCAGTTTCAACAAGGTAGAGAACTATCTGGCTCACAAGCAGAATTTTTGCCCTGTCACTGCCCATCAGCGTAACGACCTGGGACAACTTGACAGTAAGGTGTTTCAAAATCCAGAAAGTGAAAGAAACAGCCCAGATGTCAGTTACGAAAGAAGCATAATCAAATGTGAGAAAAATGGAAACTCAAAACAGTCCTCTCCTAATGGAAACTTATTTTCCACACACTTAGCAACACTTCAAGGACTAAAAGTCTTTAGTGAAGCGGCCCAGCTTATTGCTACAAAAGAAGAAAACAAACATTTGTTTCTTCCACAATGCCTTTACCCTGGAGCAATAAAGAAAGCTAAAGGAGCAGATCAGCTTTCTCCATATTATGGAATAAAGCCAAGTGATTACATTTCTGGTTCTCTCGTCATTCATAATACTGATTTAGATCAAAGCACAAATACAGAAAGTGAATCTCCTAAAGGCCAGGCACCTTCGAATGGATGTGCTGTGCAGAAGAAAGAGTCTCTTCCGCTATTGCCGAAAAACCGAGGCATGGTAATAATTAATGGGGGACTAAAACAGGAGGAAAGACCCACCGCAAACCCACAGCAAGAGAACATTTCCCAGAATCCTCCACATGAAGATGGGCACAAGTCTCCTTCTTGGATCTCTGAGAATCCCTTAACTGCAAATGAAAATGTCTCTCCAGCAATTCCTACAGCAGAGGAACAGTTGTCTAGTATAGCTAAAGGCGTGAATGGTTCTACCCAGGCCCCTACCAGTGGAAAGTATTGCCGGCTGTGTGACATCCAGTTCAACAATCTTTCAAACTTTATAACTCATAAGAAGTTTTATTGCTCGTCACATGCAGCAGAACATGTCAAATGAAACAATCGGTCACCTTTGGTACCTGTGTTTAGCATATTGTTCCATACAGTCTAAAGAAAGCTGTTTGAATTACATCTGGACAATCAGGAGATTTCACTATTGCTGAGTTGAAGACTTAAAGGTGTAATTTCATTACAGTCCATTAGTAAAGTGTATTATTGGTGCCATTTTCAAAAATATTAATTTATTTTACCAGCAGTATTCATAGCTGTAGTTATGTTATTTTTTATTTAAAAACTTTATATTAAAGTCATTTGTAATGTTATTGTATAGTTATTGTGTAGCACATATGGTTTGCACTGTATAGTAGATTTTAAAGAAAATAGTCGCAAACAATACAGAAAAGCATTTTAGAAATAGCTTCAAAAGCACTTGTGTATCCTGATTTTTTTTTCTTATATGCTGTTGCAGATGTATGTATATGCTAAAATATAACCTGCAAAGAAGTTTCAACTATGCTGTAAAGTTCGCCTTAAAATTTCAATTTTTTGAACAATTGGGCTCGGTTTGCACTTTATATTTTAGCAGATACAGTACTTTAGTCATTAGGCTTTGCATTTGTATGTAGCAGTATGTTTCTGTCCACTTTCTTAATCTGAAACGTACGTTAAACGAAGATGGCAATTTTTTTCTTGTATAGTACTTGTATTTTCTTTCGCTGATGCATCTCTGTCTCAATTTTTAAACCTTTGCTGTTAAATGCAATACTTTATAAAGAAATGAACAAAATTACTGGAAGCAGTATTGTAAGTAATGAGATCATATCAATCAGTTTTATCTTTTGAAAGGCACAGTCTAAAACAAAACCCTAAACTCAATGCTGCAATTATGAATCTAATTCATATATAAGATATATTTAAATATAAGAGTAGCAATACTGCAACTGGTGATCACAAAGATAATGTTCTACTTCTGATAGAAATAATTTCTCAACAAATGTTGTTACTATGCATGTATATGGATGGAATAAAATTCCAGATCATTGGAGAAGTTTGGCAGTAATTTCTTTAAATTTGTTTTATTTTGTTTTTCAAGAAGGATTTAGAGCTCACAAAGTGTAAAGCAGCTCTTAGGAACAGGTTAACATTGCCCCCTCTTCAATGAAAGCAAAGTGTTCAAAGAGAAAAGGGATGCCTCCGCTTCGAGGGAGTCCTTGCTGACAGGTCACTACTACAGCTAAGTCTGAGACAACCTAGGGAACTAAAACTTAAAATGTGAAGATCTGAGACCAGGAAGGCTGTTCTCTTTGCTGGAGTTACGGGAGGCATACTTCCCTGACAGTACCTCCATGTGTCAAAATCAGTGGAACAGTCTGCTTCATAACACCTCTGGTATGATTCTTTATGTGTCCAGTGGTCTTACATGAAAAACGATAGCATTCATTTAAATAGAACAGCAGTTTGCGCCACTAATTCAGTAGAAAAATACTATTCAATAATTTATGTTGTATTAAAACTCATTAGAACTAATACACAATTAATACCCTTCACTCGCAATTGTTCAGTCTCCTGTACAATGTTTTCATAAAAAAATTGATATCATAAAAGTGACCTATTATGCATTTTTCATCCTACAAATTTGAAAGCAGAACCATGACCTGAATAATCACATAAACAGTTGCATTTAATTTAGTTCCTATATCAGCCAAAGAAACAACCCAGAACAAAATACAGAAAAGGATGGTATTTCAGCTAAGCAGACAGTTGGAGTCTAGTGTAAGAGTATGCAATACCACTGACTTTCAGCAACCCCATCTCTGTGTACTTTGGAACTGAATTCATCTTTTTTTTATTTGCAAGTGTAGATACATGTGATCCAATAGCAAACATAAAAAACTTAAAAAACTATTATTAACAACTCTGGTGGTTAGCTGGGCTTTAAATGCAGAACAAGAGTGCTTAAAATTGTGCTAATTCTCACTCTTCAACAAAGATACCAGGCGTATACATTAATTTCAGTAGGACCAAAATTGGTCCTCTAGCAAATACTTTGGGTAATAAGACTAGTGACAGAGAAAAAGCATTACCAACACAGGGAGAATAAAACAGACAAGTAATTCCTGATTATCAATTAAACATTTATTAGAAAATACCACACCACTCTAACTAAGACTCCACTATATTTGAGATAGATGGTACATTTTGACGTTCTTGGTGGCAAACATTATTTTGAAGATTATCCATCATACAAAATTGATTTAAAGAACTAAGTGATTACATCTGGATTGAAATAGGCTAATTCTGAAAAATGTACATGCATAGATGAAAACTTTTAGGTGAAGTTGTTCAGAAAGCCACAGGTAGTGTAATTTACAATTGCTGAGCTCTAGGGGTGTGTTTAGACTGTGAGAAAGTAAAGAAGAATATCAGGGTTAAAGGAAATACCTGGTTGAAAAGTGGTGCCAAAAGGGAAAGGCCTTGTCACAAAACATTTCTGATCTGTAAATGCTGAGGGTACCTGATATATTCCAGAGGTAAATTAAAGCCTGCCATGCTGCATTATATTCTTCCCACTGGCTAGTCCAATTGCTTTCACATGACAGAATGTATCCGGTAGCATTTTTCTCTTTATAAATCACCTATTTGGTTGACCAGTCCCATTTTTACAAGTTCAAAACAAGCATAACATGTTCATCTGCAGGTACAGTTACTCAGTTTTATACACATCTTACTCACTTCACTGGAGCACCTAGCAGCTCTGACACGAGCTGAACCCTAAAGTTATACCATCACACACTCTGAAAGTAAAACTATACACTAGCTAGGTGGGTAGCAAATATAGATTACTGACAATTGATTTTTACACATTTGTTAAAAATAGAAAGCTTTTAATAAAGATAGCTGCTTAAATAGCTGGGCTCAGGAACCATGTTTTCCCATAACCTTACACACTATTTTCCATTTTTTCACTTTCTTTATTGCACCTTTTTTTTAATTTGCCCATTTGAAATAAGAACATAAACTCTTTGGCCAGCCAAAAATCTCTCTCCTGTCTGTTAAACCACTTTGCTCAATACTGGCCTAATCCCTGCTGGGGGCTTTAAGCACATCTATGTTTAACTCATGAGTATTGTTTACAGGAATAAACTATTTAAACCTGTTTTCTGACCAGGTGATTATTTGTATTCTCTTCAGATTATATCTATGCATTTGTTCAAGGTGATAATAAAACAGGTAAACTCCCTATTGCTAAAAACTTCTCTTGAATGTAGACTCTTCCCTAGTTCTGCTTTTAGGTTTTTGTGGATTTATTAATTATTTATCAAATCACCTATGCAAAGAGAGTCCATCCTTAGTGAGTCTTTGACACCTAGAACTCAGCCGGAAGCAGAGCATCTAGGTTAAATGGTTTGCATCCGCTAATCCTTGTCAGCTGGAGCCAGTGAATAAATCTTTGGGGCTATTGAGTGGAGATGAATAGCTCAACAAAAGGCATTAAAATACTGGTTTTATGATACAAAAAAATAAAATTGCTCCACATGAAAGCCTAATATTTAGAAGAGCTGATTCCTGCCTGACTCCCTGTGTACTGATTGCCTGGCAGGTTTTGCAGTTCAACTTTTTGGCTTTTTGAGGAAGATTTCCTTACTCACAAAACCCCATCCACATGCAGTGCTCAGAACTATTGTTGTGGCCGCATCCCTGTCTGCCTCATTTATTTGTCTATTGTAAAATTTAGACTTTGAAAGACTGTTGTGAGTCCCCATTCATATCAATTTTCACACAACAGTCATGCGGTCTCTCACGTTGCCATCTGAATTTTTTACATGATGGTGATTTTTTTCATTGTAACCATCAATCAGGTGAACATGTCTAATGCAAGCAGTAAAGAGTATTGCTACAAGCCAATGTCTGTTTGTCTTGAATTAATTGTAATAACATTAAGAGCTCTGGTGACATTTTCTCATTGCTACAAATAATCATAAAACTACATCATTGATATTTGCTGTGGATCCACACTGCTAACTTTTCCCACCATCAAGGTGAGGTGGAGATGGGCTAACTGATTTCTCTGAATGTACATAAGCTATAAACCAGAGTCCACTCTGAAAAGATGGAGCTGAGGCGGAGTTCTGAACAACGTGGAAAACCTGGTTTAAAGAAAATTCCATGGTGAGTATAATGGAAGAAGGGTGGTGTGGGATAATCTCATTGAGGGACAAAGAAGATAAGGAAAAGGGAATCAGCACTTTGTTAATCCAGAGAGTGTAGTATGGGTACGCTGATGGCTGCAGAAGGCAGCACTTGCAAGGCGTCAGCACTACAAAAACACTGCCCATCCCCAGGAGGCCTGTTGAGAGAGGCTAAAATACTGATGAGACAAAATCCTTGGAAGATCACTCCCAAATGCTGAGTATTGCTGGCGCAAAGATTCTTCTGGTAGTCTCCTGTTCCCCAAAGCTGACAATGAGGAAGAGAACCATAACTCTTCCCATCTTCCAGGTCACCTTGACAACTGGGGCACTGCACTGCCCGGAGCTGTCAGGACAGACATCACGCATGTGTGTGACCCTGTTGTAAATTAGAGATAATTCAGATACCCAAGGTTCAGCTGTGTTAGCTTGCAAGCATGCCTGGTCGTCTCGTCTGAAGTCTTCCATGTAGGTCCCTGACAGTGCTTTGAATCCAGACCTCTCAGAGCCACAGCAAAATGAACTAAAATAATACCAGTGGCACTTGTGTATGGAGTCAAACGGAGCACGGCTCAGGGAGGTGGGCAGGAAATCTGCACTCACATCATGAGAGCTTCTTCATAATATGGAGGCACAAGATGAATAAATTGTAGCTGGAAGTGTGAGATGAGCTTTTGTGCTGGGGTGAACAGGAAACCATAATTCTGACAGTTTCAACTTCTAAATACTTGTTTTTCTTACTATACACACTCACTCACACACCCACGTTATGTATAAAACATACACAGAGAGATGAGCATGTCCAAAAGAGGGGAAGAGCCTAAACTAGATTAAGAAGTTAGACCAAGCAGCTGAATGAGGTGATTGGACAAATTGTTTGTTGCAGAAGTAATAGCCAGACCCTTTAATCCTCATTTCGTAGGTAACGGGCACCTTTTGGTGCATGGAAGGTGATGGTACATTCATTCACTTCCAAATTTAAATGCACTCCTGGCAAAATTGCTCTCTCCCCTTTCTCCTCTGAGCTGCTTTGAACAGGTTTCAGGCCAAGACAGTTGTTCCTACCTACCAGCTCAACTGCCCATGCGCTCATTTTTTCCACCTGCCAGCTTAACTGGTTTTGTAATTGTCTTATTTTCTGTTGTGTTGGGGTTTTTTAATTGTTTAATCCATCTTGAATGAAGGTGCCTGACTGAGGGTGGAGGCAGGTGAAAGGAGCTACCTGAGCTGGTCTGTCAGAGAAGGGGGTAATCTCCACCAGTGAGGTGGTGAGAGGCAGCTGCTGCCAGCTCAGCTGTGGGGCAATACCTGAGCCAGCCCATGGAGAGCACCAGCCCTGCAGCGTTCGCACGACTCCCTTATCACCTCACCCTGGCAGGAACCTTTCACAGCACAATTAATAATAAAAACAATAGCTTACATACCACTCCAGTTAGTCTGCAGGTGCATATAGCATATATAACTATATGCGGGTGCATATAGTTTAGTTATATGCAGGTGCATATAACTGAATAACAGTTTTTCAGGGTGCTGAATAAGAAGAGCCACAAATGTGATGAACAGAACTGGATAAAGCTGGAAGCACCTTCAGAAGTAGTTTTCATCTCAGCTGTCCCAGTTCTAGGTGTTTTTACCAAAGCTGTGAAGCCAGGTTCATAGGATCTTGCAGTGATGGCTGTATGGAAATGTTATCCCTTTCCAGGACCACCAGCATTCCTACTGTTTTGACAGCCCATCTGTCATCAGAAGAGCTTTCTGCTCAATTTTTCAGTCACTAGTAATTTTGTTGCTTTAAGAAAAGAAACTTCTGCCTACCAGAAGTTCTGTCCTGTGGTTGTGACCGGCTGGTATGGAGCAG